GTTGATATCACGCCAGACCTGTCCCCTGAAGCTCATACCAAGAGGATAACATCAGCGGCAAAGGCCAGGTTTGCTAACATAAGAACGGCCTTTAGAAACTTGTGTAAGGAATCTTTCAGAACTTTGTATACCACATATGTCAGACCAATCCTGTAGTATGCGGCTCCAGCATGGAGTCCATATCTAGTCAAGCATATGACTAAACTGGAAAAAGTTAAAAGGTTTGCCACCAGACTAGTATCCGAACTGAGGTGTATGAGCTACGAGGAGAGACTACGGGAATTAGACCTGACGTCACTGGGAGACAGAAGAGTTAGAGGGGAAATGATCACCACATACAATATTCTCAGAGGAATTGATAGGGTAGATAAAGACAGACTATTTACCATAAGGGGCACACGCACTAGGGGACACAGGTGGAAATTGAGTGCCGAAATGAGCCATAGAGACGCTTGAGAGAATTTTTTCAGTGTCAGAGTAGTAGACAAATGGAATGCATTAGGCAATGATGTGGTGGAGTTTGACTCCATACACAGTTTCATGTGTAGATATGATAGAGCCCAGTAGGCTCAGGAATCTGTACATTAGTTGATTGACAGTTGAGAGGCGGGACCAAAGAGCCAGAGCTCATCCTCCGCAAGCACAATTAGGTAAGTACTGACAGACAGACAAGCAGACAGACAGGCAAGCAGACAGTTATGCAAGCAGACAGACAGGCACACTGACAGACAGGCAAACAGACAGACAGGCACACTGACAGACAGGCAAGTAAACAGACTCTGACAGACATGCAAGCAGACAGGCTGGCAAGCAGACAGACATGCAAGCAGACAGACATGCACACTGACAGACAGGCACACTGACAGACAGGCAAGCAGACAGACAGGCAAGCAGACAGACAGGCAAGCAGACAGACAGGCACACTGACAGACAGGCAAGTAAACAGACTCTGACAGACATGCAAGCAGACAGGCTGGCAAGCAGACAGACATGCAAGCAGACAGACAGGCACACTGACAGACATGCAAGCAGACAGTCTAAGACCCCCCCCCCCCAACACACACAACATGAGAGTGGAGAGATACTGGAAAATGCAACAGACGCAATTGCCCCAAAGTGCTTAGGGAAGGCGGGGGTGGTGGAGCCCAGGAGGGGAGGTGGGGTTGGTGGAGGGGTGTGGGGGTTGTGGGGAGGTTACGTGGGGTGGAGGGGTGTGGGGGTTGTGGGGAGGTTACGTGGGGTGGAGGAGTGGAGAAGGGGAGACGTGTGGGGGTTGGGGGAGGGGACGTGTAGGAGGGGAAGAGGTGGGGAGGGGGTCAGGTGTGGGGAGGGGGAGGAGGGCTTATGACCAGGGAAGTGGAAGGAGAGAGAGGAAGGAGAGGTGAGGGTGGAGTGGGTAAAATTGTAGTGGAAGGAGGGAGGGGGTGAGGAAGGTGGGGAGGGGGAGTAAGTAGGTTAGGAGGAGAGGGGGGATGAAGAGAGGAGGGGGGGTTAGAACACACACGACATCCTTATTAAAAACTACCCGGCCACAGCAACCTTCCCTTGTCCCCCAGTCCTCTCCACCAATTCCCCCTCCCTCATCCCCTTGTCCTTCCCACCATCCCCCACTCCACTGTCCCCTCGTCCTTACCACCATTCCTCACTCCATTATTCCCTCATCCTCCCCACTATCACCTACTCCCCCGTCCTCCCTACCATTTCCCCCTCCCCCGTCTCCTCGTCCTCCCAACCAACCCCCACTACCCTGTCCCCTCGTCCTCCCCACCATTCCCCACGCCCTCGTCCGATGCATTCCCAAATGATCTGATGTTCCCATCAGAAAATTGGGAACATCAAATGATGCGATGTTCCCATCACTGAAAAATAAGAAGAACAGTTAAAAACGAAATGAAAAACAATGAAAAACAAGAAAATAAACAAAACTCACGAAATGAACAATATGGTAAACAACACAGCTCAATTTCCAATAAAATGTCACACAAAATAATTAAATCAAAATTAAAATAAATCAAAATCCATGAAAATCCAATTTGTCACTGCAATCGGAAACATTGAAATGGAAATGTAACATACCCAGTATAGCATGTGTTGCTTTTACATGCAACATGCAACACTGTTTCTTAAAAAAAAAAATTACCTGTCACAGGTGTGGCATCTATACTTATACTTACGAAATGAACGATATGGTAAACAACACAGCTCAATTCCAACACAATGTCACACAAAATAAATAAAACAAAATGAAAATAAATCAAAATCTATGAAAATTCAATTTATTAATGCAATGGGAAACATTGAAATGGAATTGTAACATATTTAGTATAGCATGTGTTGCTATAACGTGCAACAGATAGTGCTGTTTAAAAAAAAAACATGTTTTTACCTGTCACACGTGTGGCATCTATATAGTAAGTATATAAAAACACGCACGTATTCGAATGGAATGTTGTGTCAAAATTTCAAAGCAATCGGTGAAGAACTTTCGGAGATTACAGTGTGTGTTGCTCTTACGTCCAACAGATGACGCTGTTAAAAAAAAAAATCCTATCATAGATGAGGCATGTATATAGTAGGTATATATTTAAATGCAACGTTGTTTAAAAATTTCAAAGCAGTCGGTAAAGAGGTTTCGAAGATTTCCCTCACATGAAAAACACATGAAAAACACTGTTTTTCAAAAATTGCATGTTTTCTCCCATCACAGAAGTGACATCTATATAGTATGAATATAAAAACCTGGCCGGATGCGAATGGAACGTTGTGTAAAAATTTCTAAGCAATCGGTGAAGAACTTTCAGATATTAGCGATTTATAACAAACGAACATTTACATTTTTATTTATATAGATGTCAACACAAAAAGAAGATTGTGATGAAACATGAACTCATCATGGTATGAATATGAGGGCAACATGGCACCAATATGGAGGACACAGCAATACCACTAAAGGGCATAGACTATTTTTCAGGGGACACTTATAACTCGGAAATACTTATAATAACAGGGGCACTTAAATTGACGGAAACACTCCCAATATCTAGAAAATTAACTAATTTTTAAACTTAGAATCACTCGAATTAGAACTATAATCGTCTCTATCAGCTTGCTATACCGCCCCCTAGCCTAGGCGACTGCAACCACCACGATTCAAATGAAACGGCACGCTGCTTTTGGTGATGATTAGACTAGATACGAATGGACCTCACGACTGAATGTGCAATCACTAATCGTCGATTCGTTTGCTAAGTAGTTTACTAGCTCATCCCTCAATGACCACGACCATCTTCATGAGTTTACCGTTTCTCTTAGCTATTTGAGTCGCCTACTAACGTCCTCGAACAATTCCCGGGGGCGTCCCACATATAACTCCACCCAGACAGCTTAAAAATGGAACTGCTGTTGAGAATATGGAAGTTCCCAACACCTCTGAACCAATTGAGATGGGTTGAGTAAAACCCAGTTCAATTAGCTCAGCATTTTCCTTACCCAATAAGTTTTAACTGCCTAATCATAATCTTATCGTCCCTGTACCCCATTCTTATTGCTACCAGCCCCTCACGACGTCCAGAAATCGCCTACCCCACTCAATTGCTACTGTTGTGGGATTACCGTCGACTCTTGCTCATGGGCACTCGGCTGACCTCTAAATCCTCTACAATATGTGACCAAATGGCCAAGACACATGAGCCTTCAGCAATAATTAAAAGAAAAATTGCTGATCCTACCGCTGCCATTATTGTAACGGGGGCCAGATTTTATTATCCCTCTTAACTATTTATCCGCCGTTAATTAAAGATACTGATGTTCACAAGAATTCTTATTGTAACCTTTAACTCCAACACCTAGTCACTGTTAGCGTTTGATCACATCGGTTCCACACAACCAGGGCGCTGGAACTAACAAACTCTAGAGACTTTCACTGCCACCACCGATCTCTTTAGTGTTACTATAATCCTCACTAATTGATAGTGGGACCGAATCAATCAATTGCTGACCAGACCACACACTAGAAGGTGAAGGGACGACGACGTTTTGACTTGAGAATGGTTCAGGATGGACCGAAACGTCGTCTTCCCTTCACCTTCTAGTATGTGGTCTGGTCAACATACTTCAGCCACATTATTGTGACTCATCGCCTGCAATCAATTGCCATAAAATGCAGGACTGTGGTACTCCAATTATATTGGGGAACCATTCCGTTGGTTCCATTGAGCCATTCCTCACCCAAGGGAGGAATGAATCTACTTTAAAGGTGGACAAAAACCAAAGAGCTTCACAGGAGCTTATTCCGTAAAGAGACAAGCAAACATAAATGGGCAGCAATTCCACTAAACAACCGAGATCACTTCAATCATTACTTATTATAAAAGTTATAAAAACAAACGGAGAACATTCCCTAACTGAAAACTTCCTATCTGAGGCAAATGATTAAAAATGGATCACTACAACCGCATTTCAACTTAAGAAAACAAAAACTTTACCTTAACTACCAAGACCCCAGGTCTTGTGGTCTTGTCTTAGACTGCTGCTGCCCCTAACACACGAACTCTCCTGCCCTCAGAAGCTGAGAGACTGACCTTGGCTTAGTTGCCAAAGTAATAAATATTCAAAGATGATTATCAAAGCTTAAGTATATACTAGTGACTGAAGATGATTTAATCATTATTCCAAAACAATTGGAAAATTACCAAAATACTTGAGAAGAGTTGATTGATGACTATAATATTGAGTACTACCTTAATTATTCTAATTTAAGGAATTACTCAAGGGAAGGTGGCAATGGTGAGCGTCCTTTGTCGCCTCATGTCCATGGGAGATGACTCAGTGCATCCTTGCCAGTCCTACACGAGTCATCTGTACTTGAACGAAAGAGGAGATTTGATTCTTTATTCATAAATGACGTTAAATTAATCTAAGTACTTGGCAAAAGAGGTTATTAATTACCATAATTACTTTTAATAACTGAATTTCTCTAAACTAATTCATTAAACTCACAGGAAGGCTGTAGCAATCATGCCTGCATCACTTCCCCGCTAAATTCTTGGGACAACCTTTCTGGAAACTCAGATAGAAACTGCCCTGAGACTCCAACCTAGATTATCCATGAATACAATACTATACAAGATATATAAGCTTCATTATAAACAGCTAAACTGTAATAACACACCACCTGGCCAGAGCTGTGACGTGCCTCCTGGCCAGAGCTGTGACGTGCCTCCTGACCAGAGCTGTGACGTGTCTCCTGCTCTGAGCTGTGATGGCCCTCTTGGCCACGACTGTGACGCGCCTCCTGGCCAGAACTGTGACGTGCCTCCTGACCAGAACTGTGACGCGCCTCCTGGCCAGAACTGTGATGCGACCCATGACCAGGTCTGTGATACGCCTCCAGACCAGAGCTGTGACGTGCCTCCTGACCAGAGCTGTGACGCGACCCATGGCCAGAGCTGTGATGCGACCCATGGCCAGGTCTGTGATACGCCTCCAGACCAAACCTGTGACGTGCCTCTTGGCCAGGTCTGTGACGCGCCTCGTGGCCAGGTCTGTGACGAGCCTCGTGGCCAGGTCTGTGACGCGCCTCGTGGCCAGGTCTGTGACGAGCCTCGTGGCCAGGTCTGTGACGAGCCTCCTGGCCAGAGCTGCTATGCGCCTCTTGGTCAGGGCTGTAATGCGCTTCCTGGGGATAGCTGTGATGCGACCCATGGTCGGGTCTGTGATGCGCCTCCTGGTCAATGATGTGGAGCGCATCCTGGCCAGAGCTGTGACACGCCTTCTGACTGACCTGAGTTGTGACGTACTTCCTGGGCAGAGCTGTGACACGCCTCCTGGCCAGATCTGTGACACGCCTCCTGGCCAGATCTGTGACACGCCTCCTGGCCAGATCTGTGACACGCCTCCTGGCCAGGTCTGTGACACGCCTCCTGGCCAGATCTGTGACACGCCTCCTGGCCAGGTCTGTGACACGCCTCCTGGCCAGGTCTGTGACACGCCTCCTGGCCAGGTCTGTGACACGCCTCCTGGCCAGGTCTGTGACACGCCTCCTGGCCAGGTCTGTGACTCGACTCCTGGCCAGGTCTGTGACACGCCTCCTGGCCAGAGCTGTGACTCGACTCCTGGCCAGGTCTGTGATGCGCCTCCTGGTCAATGATGTGGAGCGCATCCTGGCCAGAGCTGTGACACGCCTTCTGACTTTCCTGAGTTGTGACGTACTTCCTGGGCAGAGTTGTGACACGCCTCCTGGCCAGGTCTGTGACACGCCTCCTGGCCAGATCTGTGACACGCCTCCTGGCCAGGTCTGTGACACGCCTCCTGGCCAGATCTGTGACACGCCTCCTGGCCAGGTCTGTGACACGCCTCCTGGCCAGATCTGTGACACGCCTCCTGGCCAGAGTTGTGACACGCCTCCTGGCCAGGTCTGTGACACGCCTCCTGGCCAGAGTTGTGACACGCCTCCTGGCCAGGTCTGTGACACGCCTCCTGGCCAGGTCTGTGACACGCCTCCTGGCCAGGTCTGTGACTCGACTCCTGGCCAGGTCTGTGACACGCCTCCTGGCCAGAGCTGTGACTCGACTCCTGGCCAGGTCTGTGATGCGCCTCCTGGTCAATGATGTGGAGCGCATCCTGGCCAGAGCTGTGACACGCCTTCTGACTGACCTGAGTTGTGACGTACTTCCTGGGCAGAGTTGTGACACGCCTCCTGGCCAGGTCTGTGACACGCCTCCTGGCCAGATCTGATGTGGATATGCCTCCTGGCCAGAGCTGTGATATGCCTCCTGGCCAGAGCTGTGACGCGCATCCCGGCTAGAGCTGTGACGTGTTTCATGACCAGAGCTGTGACGCGCCTCTTTGCCAGAGCTGCGTTGCGCTTCCAGGCCAAGTCTGTGATGCGCCTCTCGGCAAGAGCAGTGACGCACCTCCTGACTAGGTCTGTGATGCGCCTCCTTGCCACGTCTGTGACACATTGTTATGATCTCAGCCTGCAGGAGAAACGAGTCTCTCCTTGAGAGTTATTCTCCCAGGCCTGACCTAACTAAGAGGTCAAGGAGATATAGATCTGAATATATATATATATATATATATATATATATATATATATATATATATATATATATATATATATATATATATTCAGATCTATATCTCCTTGACCTCTTAGTTAGGTCAGGCCTGGGAGAATATATTTAACATATATATATATATATATATATATATATATATATATATATATATATATATATATATATGTTAAACACTGGGTTAAATTTGACAGATAGTTTGCGTGTATGGGCAGTGAACAAGAATATAAATAAATAACTGGTCATGAGATGTGGAGAATTTGTTGGGGGTGTGAGGCTCGTTTCTGAGGATGTTGACCACACTTGAGCACCAGAAATAGTGAGGGGAAGTAGCGCTCCTATCAGCTCCTGTTAGAGAAGAACCCCCTAGTTGATTTACCTTCAGGAGGAAGGAAGTGTGCAGACGTTTCAGGTGTGGAGTCAAGCTGGGAACGTGCGGTCTTAAGTCCTGGACGGCAGGAAGATTTGTGAAGCCGTCCTGAAACATTTTTGTGGGCAGCCGTGTGAGCGCCCTGATCAAGCGTCATGCGAGTGAGTGCCCTCCCAGGAGCAACTCTGTAGTAAGCTCGATTTTAACCAGTTAACAGTGATTGCCTGTAGTTGGTTGTGTGCCCAGCGCCCGTAGCAAAGTGTTTATTGATAGGTTAGGCAAATTTTGTTGAAGTAGGAAGTCTAAATAAGAGAGTAAAGATGGAGGAACGTCCTGGAGGGCGGAGCGACATCTGTCCCCTTTGAACAATCGCAGGTGACTGAGAAAGCTTAGCTCCTGGCGGAGTAGCTGCCCCGCAGCTGGAGGAGGATGGATTCGCCCGAACGGGAGAGTCCATACTCCCGGCGTTCGGGAATCAGGGAGATGTCGGATGTTACATTTATTGTGTGTAGTTCATTTCAGTTATATGTTTGTTGAGGAGCATTTTTATTATTGTATCGATGGGTTGCAGGTTTGATCTGAGAAATTAGTTGATGGGAGTATTCTGAGGCCGGAGAAAAAGCTAATGAGTGGAACTTCAAGGCTGTAGGAGTGGATGTTGTACTCTATGGAAGAGCAAGCCCCATAGTGAGGAACTGGACCTCAAACTGTGTGAAAAGGAGCAGTGACGTGAAGTCTCACATGCTTCGGTGGAATTTGTCATGGAGTACCATTGGATTCCAAGGGGAAACTTCGTGGTGCAGCAGCCTGGAATAGCTGTTGAGCTCTATATATATATATATATATATATATATATATATATATATATATATATATATATATATATATATATATATATATATATATTTATATTATATATATATATATATATATATATATATATATATATATATATATATATATATATATATATATATATATATATATATATATATATATATATATATATATATATATATATATATATATATATATATATATATATATATATATATATATATATATATATATATATTTTGGTAGCAGTCTTTCCTGTAGACATATATTATTAAATATGACCGAAAAAGTAAGATAAATAATTCTAACACGAATTTTCTCAATCTTTCGTACATTACGCTTCACTGTTGGAGGTAAATCAAAAATCAATTCTCCAAAATTCATTTTTATTTCTAGTCTGACGCGACACGGGCGCGTTTCGTAAAACTTATTACATTTTCAAAGACTTTAGTTCACAAATACACAACTGAATAGAACTTACGTATCTCCGATTTTATATCTACATTTGAGTGAGGTGGAAGGGGTGATGTGGCATTAACACAAGACAGAACAAAATGTGGTATTAATAGGGTATTAATTTCATCAACACAAGACAGAACAAGGGTATTAATAGGGTATTAATTTCATCAACACAAGACAGAACACGAAACAATGGATATTGAATAGAAGTGTTTGTAGAAAGCCTATTGGTCCATATTTCTTGATGCTTCTATATTGGAGCGGAGTCTAGAGGTGGGTAGAATATAGACTCCGTTATGTGTTGTTATTAAATGTTTGTTATGAACAGGTGTTTGCCCTTGTCCTAGTAAGGAGGACAAGGTCTCTTCCCAGAAGGCAGAACAGAAAGAGAGAGAAAACATCACAGCTGTGGACAGGGTAGTACAGAATAATAATTCAAATGAAAAGGAGAGAGTGGGGAATCACGGCAGCTCAAGTGGGTGTGTGTGCACATGACAACGAGGTTTGTGTTGGAGCCGCATCCCCTAAATATGTGACATTGAACCCCTCCCCAAAAGCAAGAATCGTGCAGGGTGATCTCCCGATTAAAGTGTAAGCACTCTACAAAGGTTTTGGTTTGGTAGGTTGTCCGGAAGAGACAATCTATCGACCCACAACAACATAATATTATTACGACCCACAACGTCAGAGCACCTCCTGGCCAATCCTGTGACCCGCCTCCTGGTCAGAGCTGTGACCAGCTTCCTGGCCATGTCTGTGACGCGTCTCCGGGCCACGTGTGTGACGCACCTCCTGGCCAAAGCTGAGATGCGCCTCCTGGCCAGGTCTGTGACGCACCTCCTGGAGAGAGACTCATATAAAGCCACTCCAACTCTGGAGTGGCCTTATAAGAGGCCACTCCAGAGTTGTCGGTCTGAGCGGCCTCACCAGGGAGCAAAGCCAGGATAGGTTGATATGGAAGAGAAGCTGTTACCCAAGCAGCAGGTCCCTCCCTCTCTCAACGGCACGGAAAGTCTCTAATGGAAAGGCAAACGCCAATGTGATTAGTTCCAACGCCGTCGCAGGAACTGTCAGAACGAGCATGAAGGCAACAACGAACTGCTCTACGGGCTCCAGCTCCGAGTTGACCTCGAAGTTGGTGAAAGAAGGTACAGGGACTCCAAACCCGGAGACTGCAGTGGTCAGGGCCGGAGAAGAACCACCCCAGCCTCCTGAAGCAGAGCCTGGGCCGCACGAGCCCCAGGAGGTGGACGTCCCGGTCCCGCACCTACGGGTTCCAGACAGAGATCGTCACAGCCCTCTCTCATTCGAGGCCGGCTTCCTTCAAGACCAAGCAGAAGGAAGAGTGATAATTATT